GAGACACCTTGGAAAACAGGCCTTTACTATCAGCAGCGTGTGAGCCCATGCGCTCCATCCTCTGGAAATGGGGCTGAACATCTTGTTGTGTGCACCTTTGTCTGCAGATTGCTCCTAACTACAAATCCTTTGGCCCTGAGTGCTCCTGTTTCTTCCCGGATCAGGGCATGAATGGCAAAGCGTATTTTGCAGTAGTGATGTGCTGTTGTCTCAGTTCAGCCCAAACTTTGCCTGCTTTTTATTCTCTTTATCGCCTTTTGGTTTTCCTCTTTACCACGCTCCACCTCTCTTCTTTCACTTCCCTTTATTGCTCCTCTAGGCTATTTATGATACTGTTTCAGGAACTTAGGATATCTTAAGGAATTTTTATTTTGGCTAGACTGTAGGATTTAATTCTATCTTGTTTCCTCAAGACTTTATGTATATTTTAGATCTGCCTTACTTTACTTACTAGCAACACTCCCAAATTGCTGGGAGTGAATTTAACGAAGATTGGAAGTTTGAGGGCTGGCTTCTTGACTGCTCTGGGGCCATCTGTAACCTGTGTGGAAACACTGCTGGATCAGAACAGGCAGCACGTGACTTCCCTTGCTCAGGCATGGGCAATTGCAGGGAGCATGGCAGTGGAACTACTAACTCCATTTGTGCTTCCTTACACATGGCTGTGTACAACAGCACTTAGTTCCACCTGGTCTCCCTTACCACGCATGCTCCGTGTCTCCTGAATGACTCCTTTTTTCCCTTGCTATAAGAATAATTGTTAACTTGTAGAATTCATGTGCTTCCAGCCTCATGAGGAATTTCTATTCTAAATAACCCATGAAACTTTTATGTTGGCATTTGAACTTCGATGGGTCTGGGCAGTTTTATCACTCCTCTGTCTTTCCATCACTCCTTTCCCCATAAACCAAGCAGAGGCCACCCCGTTACCGCAGTCAATCCTACTGTGCACATAAGCTAAATAGCATCACAAAGAAATAATTTGTGGAGGATTTTTGGCTGCTTAAAATGTTGCATCCTGTTGCATATTTTAATTTCCCCTAAATGTTTCCTTCAGCATGCACATCGGCTGCTTCTCCCGCACAGAAGCAGAAGGACTGTGCAGTACGCAGAGCACTGACAAGAGCTGACTCTGGGTGCGTCGTAAAGAGAGTTTCCAAATAACTTAAGAAATGTGGAAAGGCAAACGACAGTGTGTTGCTTTTGACAACGTTTGGAGGCTCTCTTAACTGCAAAAGGCAAGATGAACCTCAACAAGCACTTGAAAATGCTGCTTCTGAGTGTCTCCAGAATGTTTGTGACAACTGTTCAAAATCACATAGTAGTAACACGAGAAAATAAGTTTAAATGGCTAGTTTTGGATAAGAATTTGATTAATACTTCCCCTTTATACTGAGCAGTGAATGACAGGGAAGACTGAATAGCTGGAGGTTTGCGGGTGTCTGCGGCCCTGGCGTGGCGTGTCCTGCAGTCGTTGGTCTGCGTCCTGAATTCAGTGTTTTAAAAATCCATTTGTGTGTTTACATTTCCTGACGTGGTTTTATTTTTTCTTAAACCATCATGCAGAGTTTTATACAGTGCAGATTATTTACCTGATAGAGCGAAGGAGCAGTTAACAATCCATGGGTAAATCTATACTTAGTATTGTAGGGAGCTGTCATTGTGTTCTTACAAGTATGTATTATAGAAAATTACTGCGCATGTGCGATAGATAATTTTCAGATATTAGTATATCAGAGGTTTACACATTGAAAAAAGAAATCTCCTTTATGTACAGTAAGTAACAGCCTGCAAAATTTAGTCTAAAAGTTGTCTTTTTTAGTCTTAGAAATGCAAAGACCTGTTGGAAGCTTGTACATTTTTAATGTCATGTTCAGCCCACAGCAAACGTACACAACTGTGCTATGAATCCCTGAAAAATTAGATTTCCAGTGGAATTGCTGTCTCAGCCTTAACTCTAGTATTATAAAAATGGTGCTTAAATACATTTATGTGCATGGATGTGGGTACCTGATAAGTGTGTGAGAATTTCAAGGAAAACCGAGCAGCTTAGTGCTGCCCTTGCGAGTTAGTACTTCCTGGCAGATAATTGCAGTCACATTTGGGAACTGACAAATGTGTAAATACTTGGGAAATATTTAAACCAGTGCACAGCTAAGAGCAGTTTCTCAGTGTTGGGTTATTTAATTGGCAAACGCTGCAGTTCTCCTGATTTCTGGCTCTGTTGGAAGCAGGCGGGATGGCAAAGGAGCTGCTCTGGTGGCTGCAGAGCCAGGGTCCTGCCTGAGTGTTGGCAGGAGGGGCTGGGGTTCCCACCTGCATCACGGCTGTCTAGCTCCTTGGCAGATAAACTCCAAATCCTCCATTTCTCTTCCCCAAAACACCTCCTCAGAGAGTGGTGGCTGCTCGGCTATTTTCAGAAATCAACATCTGATGACTATTCTGTAGAAATACTAACACAGGCTTGTCATTCCTCCATGAGTCATTATAGCAGACTTCATTTCCAAACACCCATTGATGTTGGCGCGATGAAATTCATGTGGTTTAGACTCTCCAGGTCACGTTCTGGATGATTTATATTACTCCAAAACATGCAAAAATCTATTAGAACGATGTCTACTTTCTATATTGATTTTTTTTTTTCCAGGTGATATTTATGCCCATATCTTCACATCCGCTATCTCAGGTCCCTTTAAATGAATACTTCAGGGATTTTGATGCCACTTGTTGGCAGACCAAATGTAATATTTATATGCAATGAGCTGTTAGTTTTTGTATTGTACAAATGTAAATTTGTAAAGATTTTTTTCTAGAGTTTTTTTGAAGTCACTTATGTAATCTAGGATGTTTCATTTTCCAGCTGTGGGGATTGTCATAATAAAAAAAGAGAGAAACTCTTACTTTGGTTTTGCATTACTTAATAAGTAGTTTAGACATGAAGAAGACTGAAAAACACTTAAAATGAAGGTTTTGACATCAAAAGAAAAATGCTTTTTGATTCAACTGGATAATTTTATGCTTATTGAAAAGGAAAGTTTTATAAAGTTGATACAGAAACTTCTGTAAACTGCAGATCTCGAGGAGGACAGGACAGAGCCCCTCACCTTTGCTAAAAGCAAGCGCGAGGTCTCACTGGGGGTGGGTCACCCAAATCATTGTCAGATCTGGCTCCAAAGTACCATTTTCCTGGGCAAAAATAGAGGAACAGCTGATGCTTTCTTGGGAAACTATGTGAAAAATGCTGTGCAGAGCGATAGGACTTGTGCAGAGCAGCACCAGAGCAGGTGAGGAGGAGGAGGAGGAGGTGAAGGTATCTGGGGGAGATTCCTCCTGACACTGCAGGACACTGATGGGTTCAGGCATTGAGATCTGGTTCCAGGAGGAGCTTGCACCTATTTCTGAGTACTTAATGCCAAAGAAAGAACTACTCCTTTTTCATCATTGCTCTTGTTAAATAGCAGTGATAATATTGTTCTAGCAGGGCTTTTCCAACAGAGATGGATGGTGTAATGCTGCCTTGGCGGCATGGCCAGCACAGGCTGGGGGCTACCGGGGGTCCTTGGCTCAGCCAGGGGCAGGTGAAGACCCTCACGTGCGACAGGGCTGCCCCAGTGTGAGCAGGGAGGGGTTCGGGGCTGTCTGACCCCCACTGCACACAAGCTTTAAAGCCATCATCAGGCACAAGTGATTTCATACTCAACAATGACTGTTAGAGGTACCCAAGGAAGACCAGCCTGTCTGTGGTTTAAAGCCTTCAAAGTTACAGTTTGGCTGCCCTCAAGCTTATCCTGCCATGTCCCGCTCTTGCACACACTACTTTGCTTTTTCCCCATGTTAACCTCCTGACTTCCTTGGCATTTTACTGCACTGATTCAAATGGTCTGAATGGCAGTTCCTCCCAGACGTGAATGGGTATCTTCTTTTTCACACAGCGCTCAAATTCCAGCCCCCAGGAACAGAAGCTGTGTTTTATTTTCTTTGGCTTCTTGGTTACAGAGAACAAAATCAAACTTATATTGCACCGATGCTGAATACCCACACTAAGTACATCCATCAGTGGCATTAGAGAGAAATTACTCTCCCTTCAGAGCTGCTTTACTTGGTTAAACCAACCTTTGCTGTCACTCCTGTCAATATTATCATAGGTGTGATATCATGCACTTTATACCATCACATGTTTGGGTTATATATATACATGTCATAAAGTATATGATATAAAATACTGATTTGCTAGAGAGCAATTATTCTTCCAAATCACTTTGGAAATGTATTTGATAGAAGTATTCTTTTCGACGGTAACTTTTGCAGATGATTTAGAATGAAACTGTGATTCTTACGTGTTTCAGCAGTGTTTGGATAAACCACTACTGTGCCTGATGTGCAGGGCAGCTGTGCTATCCCAGTGCTCATTTCCAGCCTGGAAACCCTCAAACACCCTCTTCCATCCCTCTGTCAGCTGCTTCCCATGTTCTGGGCACTGCAGTGGTGGTGTTTGCAGGGCACTGTCTGGCTCTCGGAGCCTTGCTGACCCTCGTGAGAGGGGGAAGCCGAGCTTTGCCTCCATGCCAGCTTCTCAAAACAGGCAATGAGACAGCATGGTTTCCCCTCAGCTATCCTGTCCTCATGAGGAGCTGCTTCTTGAGACACGTTATGAGGTGTTAGGTGCTGCGGTGTGTGTTTGAGAGGTGCCCTTTCCCCCTTCGAGGCTGTTTGAACACCTGTTTGGGGGTGCAGGCAGAGATGCCGACACCACAGGGCCCTGCAGCAGGAGGGGAGGCCGGGGGACCCCCTCCTCTGCCCCCAGGAGCCCAGAGGTTGGGGTTGGTTTGCTGGTGAACAAAAGCCCTTTGTCTTGGATCAGACACTGCGCCAGGAGCGCCTGTCCCGTGACATGAGGTGACGCAGGTGCTGACGGTGCTGGCAGCCCTCCCGCCCCAGGCCGCCTTCCTCCTGCTCTGCCTCTCAGCAGAGCCCCTTTCCCCTCCCTGCGGCCGGTGCGGTGCGGTGGGTCCGGCGGGGCGGCTGACGCAGTACGGCCTGCCCTCCTCCATCAGTATTTGCTCTGGTGCCAGGAGGGACGGTTCTAAAGCTCCGGCTGACACAGGGAGCTCCAGCCTCGCACCTCCCCTCGCAGGGCTGATGTGCCACTGTCCCACTGATGGTGCCGGTGGCCGGTGCAGACCATGAGGGACCGGCTGGCGGAGCTGCAGCAGCGAGCCGCAGCCGAGGGCAACCTGCATGAGGATGCTCTGTGCTTCGACAACCCGGTGTTCGCTGGGGACAATGCCAGCCCCGTTAGCCAGGCGCTGCGGGAGGCAGCCGAGCTCTGGCGGGCACTGGAGCGGCTGGAGCAGCTCTCGGAGAGCATCAACAGGACGCAGCAGACGGTGCTGTGCTGCACCTCCGGGGAGAGCATCGCCCGCAAGAAGAGGGGGCTCGGCACTTCCAGAGCTGCCTTCACCTGCGAGGCCATGGCCCTGCAACCCCAGCTGGGCGCTCTGCCAGCAGCACCAGGGGATGGGACGGGGCAAGCAGGGCCCCGCATCCGCCAGACCCAGCAGTGGCTGCTGCTGCGGCGGTACCGCGCCATCCTCGCCCGCCACTACGCCCGGGAGAGCCGCTACCGGCAAAGGCTGAAGGAGCAGCTCGAGAGGCAGGCGGAGCTGGCGGGCATTGACCTGGGCACCGAGGACTTGGACCACCTGGCCAAGAGCCCCGAGGTGCCCCGCATCGTGGGCCGGGACCTGGAGGCAGTCAAGGCCAAGCAGCACCTCGCCATGGCCCAGGCGCGCCAGCGGCAGCTCCTTGACCTGGAAGCGCAGATGGCGGAGCTGCACGGGCTCTTCCTGCGGCTGGAGGGGCTGCTGGCCGAGCAGCACGGGGCCGCTGACAGCGTGGAGCACCACGTCCTGCGCACCCTCGACTACGTCACCCAGAACAGCGGCGAGGTGAAGAAAGCCTTCAAGTACCAGCGGCCATCACGGCTCTCGGCCCTGCTGACGACTGCGCTCAGCATCTGCACCTGCTGTGCCTGCCTGCCCTGTCTCAGCGGGACCCTCCGGTGAGCCCGTGCTGCGGCGGGGTGGCTTCACAGTACCTCTTGCTGATCTTCCCCTGCATCCGTGCCAGAAGCGGTGTCATGAGAGGCTGCTGCTCTCCTGTGCTTCTCGCACGGCGGTGCAGGAGCCATGCACACCTTGCACGGCATCATGGGGACCACGCAAACCTGGTGTGACGGTGCGAGGGCTGTGCACACATTGCATGGCAGCATGGGGACGAAGCGCATCTTCAGTGGTGGCGCAGGGACCGCACGCACCTTGCACAGTAGCATGGGGACCAGGCACATCTTTGGACTACGGCACAGGGGACACGCACACCTTGGTTAATGGTGTGGATGCCGCACTTGGACTGCAGGCGCCCAGAGCACTGCAGTGCCCAACAGAGAAAAACATTTTTAATACTATGAAAAATAACTTATAAAATTTAATGCTTCTTTTTATGAATATTTCAAGAGGGGGAAGCCTGTTGAAGTTTTGTCATGTTTGTTGTTACATGCGAGGGGACCCGATGGCTCCCCACAGAGCAGTGTGGCAGTTCCTGGGGTCAGGTCCCACTTGTCTCGGCCACCCTTAGGTTTATTTTCTTCTTCTAGCTAGGCCTTAATAAAACCATTTCTCAATAACCTCTGGTGTGTGGATGGGTGAGTTATTCCTTGCAGCTGGTAGCCCAAAGTTAAGGAAGAGTGGAAATCAAATGACTTCTGGTTATGTCTATTGGGTTAAATTCTTATGAATCTTTCACAGCTTCATTTACAGGCTGATGAATGCACCTCTTTTTCCCTTTATGGATATCTTCTCTTGACCTGGAAGACTCCCAGCATCAGGAATGTTCATCCCTGTAGAGCGGTGATGCCCGAGGGGCCGGGCTGAGTGGTCTCTGCTCCTGCTGCTTCCTTTGTCCTTTTCTTTGTGAGGGTTAAATGAATATTAGTTCGTCATTCAAAACTTGATGAATGGAAGTTATCTTTTTATTTAATTTTCATTTAAGAAACAGAAACACGACTTTGTTTCTGAGAGAATAAATGTTTTTTTTTCCATTGTGAATTAACCACAATGGAAATCCAGGACAGCATTGGAGGAGGCCAGAGGTTGTGTTTGTGGCTAAAACCTGCACGAATCATGTAATTAAAGATGACCTGAAAATGAAAACATACGCGGGATGCAAATGTGGGCTCTGCATCCCAAATGATGTATGATGTAATGAAGATGGGAATAATGATTTTGTCACCAAACCTTGAAAGAGAAGTGGCCTTTTCTTGGTTCCTCTCCTGTTTGTCCAACAACCCTAAAGGAAGTTTCCCAAAATGGAAATCAAATAAAGGCAGCAAGCAAAGGGTGAGTGTTGTTCAGCACTGCCAGAGGTGCTATGGTGACTCCTGCTCCCAGCCAGCCTCTCCAGCAGGTCCGCTTGCCCTGCCCCATCTCATGTGGTCAGAGACAGGGAAGCACCCTCTATATTGTATATTAAACCCCACATTTAAGGTTCAGATTCCAAAGCAGCCTCCTGGGAAGCACTGACGGCTACTTACAGACTCACAGGACATACAGAGAAGGGGAAAAAAACACTCGGCGAGGTAGGGGAGGTGGCAAATCTGAACGCAGCATAACGTGTTTAACCAACACTCTATGCTAAAGCCTCTCTGCAGAGACAGTGCCGGCCTCGGGAGAGCCCTAGCTGGGGCCACCAGGCAGCATCCAGCTCCAGCAGCCCTGCAGAACCAGTTGAGCCGCTCGGTAAATGTTTATCCATACAGCACAGGAAAAAGCTCTCTGCTATCGTCAGTGCTTCCAGCCCAGGCTGATTCCCAGGGGTTTTCATGGAGCACAATGTCCTCTAGAGCCTGGTACTGGAGTGATGGTCCTCGGGCACAGGCTCCTTTGCTGGTGGGGTGCAGCTTTTCTGCTGGCAGCATGCTCCTCCTTGTGTTTAGAATTTACAGGAAAATAGCCTTGATTTGTGCTACAAGGACCAGTGAGAAGTTAAAGGCGAAAAAGATGAGAAACTTTGCAGCTCTTTCCACTGATGGCTTCAGCAGTTTACAAGACTCTCTGAGTTTAATAATCACGGCTTGTTGGTTTTATTTTCTGATGCTTGGTTGCCTTTCATTAAATATTGGCCTCATATGGAGAGTGATTACTCAATAGCAAAGTAATTAATAATACTGTAATGTGGGCATGAACATTTGACAGGATGGGGAAGTTTCCTTTCTCTTCTCAGTAGAGGTTGGCCCTTCATTTGGAGCACATTTGCTGTATGAATATTCCTGGAGATGATGAAGCCAAGGTGGAGGACCTGCGTTAACCATTCAAAGAATACCCATGAGAGGGCTGTTTTAATTATTTCCCAAATGATCATAAATGTAGAAAGTTCACATTTAAGGGGAAAATAAAGCAAAAGCCAAACATGTCAAGCTACAATCGGGCTACCCAAACCCCTTGGATCTGTTCTGTAATGACATGCTCAGAATGGGGTTCATGAAAAGAGGAACTCTTCAGTAAAATGTGTTAGAAGCTGGCTTAGAGGTACAGAGCCTTTATAACCGTGCTGGCAGCACACACTGCTTTTCAAATGCAAAGTCTTTCAGTTGAAGAAATGTCACCGAAAATAATCTTTTTTTTTAATGAATAAAAAATCTTTTCCTGACATTTAGACAAGAAAATAATTCCAGAACAATTTAATCACTCTCTAGAGCTCTTTTTTTAAGGCGACGTAGGTTACAACAGCCCAACAGTCTGTTGTTCCTGCCCAGAGACCCAGGGAGGACTTGTGCGTACTGGTTCAAACATCGAACTTTTATCCTTTCAACACTGATGATTTTTCATGTCACAACAAAAAACTCCCAAACAGAATTTCTTGTAAATGCATCTTTTTAAAAGTCTCCTGAATGGGAGCTAAGTTCCCTGAGTTCTGTTCAATTTGCAGCATCTCTTTGGCCAAACCTCTGGAAATACATGTTTATTGGAAAAAATGGGGGGGAAGTTGCATGAGTGTTTAGGACTGTAATTCCCTTTTATTGCAGTCCAGTTGCTCTCAAATAACACACAAAAGCAAGATAAACTCTTAATTCAAAATATTTATATGTTTTAATATGAGATGAGAGATTCATTGAATCATATTTTCATTTTCCCATTGAAAACCACCAGCCAATATTTCCACTTCCAGAAATTTTCCAAAAAGCCATTTTTTTTTTGTTCAAAAAGGCTTTTTGTACCAAATCACACTTGGTATTTTTACTCAAGCGCACTTAACGTCAAAGCAGAAATTCATTCGTCTGTGTGGGCTACCAAGTTATTGCATCGCTTCAAAACACATTTTACATCTCATTCACCGATACAAAAATGTGCCAGCAGTTTAAATTGTCTTGATTTGTTTTTCCCCAGTTTTTCCTGTGTTTTCCAGTGAATCAACAACTCTATTCATAGAGCTCATCAGAGCTGCCTGTCTCTGAAAAACGTGGAGATTTGGCTCATAAGCCTTTCTGCAGGAGTAGGAATCACTGCCAAAAAATTTGGGAGAGCCACTTCTTGTCTTTCCAGCAGCAGGCTGGAAACTCCATCCTTGGGTTTTGTGGGCAAATTGGGCTCATGTCAGTGTCATTTAGTGCTGAATTCAACTGGATGTCTTTGCTGTCCCAGCAGCCTGGTCTGCATGGGCAGCATGGAGCAGGCTGCACCTCAATTTTAGATCTTTTTTAATGGCATTTCTCTAACAGGAATGAAATAAGTTGTGTTTTCCAGAGTACAGATATTGCCATTGGATTTCCCTTGCAGGGATAATGTTTGATTCCTTGCCTCTTCCTGCAGTCAACTTATTAAAAATCTACTAGAAATAATTTAGGATGAAGCAGTTTATGTTTTTATGTGTCTCTTTATCTTCGAAAATCCACTCCTTAGGTTTGTGGACCTGCAGTTTTCTGAATGAGAAGTTTCTATGAAGCTTTCTTCAACACTGCCTTCTAGTGGGTCTTCAGGGATGGCACACAGAGTTAGTGGTGATCGTAGTGATGGGGGTAGATTGACAGCAACACACTGCCTCTTCCAGGTGAGACCAAAGCAATTGTACTTTTTGGTGATTTTCTTTGTATTCAGTGCCTTTGCAGCTTTTTCCCCCTTTCTTTTATTAACAATGAACCTCTTCCCATTCATTCAGTAAAATTGCGCCAGCAGAGCCTGAGCAGCTTTGCATGAGAAAGATGACAATGAGCTGCTGTGAGAGGAGTCACGGAATAATCATCTTGTGAGTGCTGAATTCAGGCACCTGGCCAGGAACAAATGGACACGTGGAGAGCAGAATCCTCACGGGTCCTTCCTGTGCGATTAAACCCTGAAACCAGGGGAGCTTTGACTTGCTATGCAAGCCCAGGCTGTGGGAAATGTCCCCACATGAGGATGGAGGACCCAAAGGCTGAGCCTGCCTCCAGCCAGGTCCAGGAGGTTTTCCATGGTCCCTACCCACCCTGGACTTGCCAACACACCAATCCCTGCAGCTCAGATGTGTTTGCTCCCAAAGGGAGGTGCTAGATGCTTCCTGAGCTCCCCAATAAATCTATTTATTACTCATTACAAAATAAGAATAGGGGCATTTTTCTTTATTCTTGTTTTCTTCCATGTTGAAAATTTCCTTTAGTTTTGTGTGTTGATCTTGGCATGTAAAGCACATCTTTTTTACCATTTTCTTAAGTGTCACTGTGTCAAGAGCATCCATTTTTTACGATTCCTGGGGAAAAAGTATCTCCACAAGTCAACTGATGTAAATGATGAACTAAAATCTTTCCAAATGATCACTAATGAGCACACAATTTTTGCCTGGTTTCCTACACTGCCTTGCAATGGTTGTGCTGCCAATTAATTTTAAGCAGTAAAAACAAGCCTTGAATTTACAGCAAGTCTTACTTTCAGCTTAAGGTAAGGTGAAACTCTAAAATCTTGCATTAACTGCAAGTAGGATGACTGTGACCAGATTTTTATTTAATACTGAGGGCAATGACTTCCGTTGAAGTGACCCAATCCATGCTTCTCATAGGAATGTGTATGTTTAACATTCTGTATTTTGAGG